GTAAACGTTCCAGAAACGTTGAAAATAGTTCGTTTGACTTGACGTGAACAGGAGACGTTCAGAAATAGAATCGGGACCAGATCTCTAATTAGTCTGGAAACGGGGGACCTAATTCTTGCATTCTGTGAAAACGGGTAAGATTGGCTATAATGTAATTATCTTAATCTTCACTATCGTTACTTTTTAAAAACCCAGCGAAGCGGGTCCTTGCAGCTAGATTCTAGATTACTTAGAAAAACAGTCTTTTATATATATAAAAAAACTATATTACATACAAATGTACGAACAAATAAAAAACCCAGCAAAGTGGGTCCTTGCAGCTAGTAATAAATAAATTTATCTATTTCTAAGTAGAAATTAAAAGTATCTGTAGAAGTAATTTTTTAAAATATCCTTTTTCGTGATAAAGTTTTAATACTTATTACTATAATCTAGACATGTAAATCCTTTAGTATACTTGTATATTTAAGGATTCGGCACAATAAACTTGTGGCCCAGAACTCCATGACTTCTTCCAATGTGGCTCAAAGAAACAGAAAGGTTGGACACTCCTGCTGTAAATAATTCTGTGTTATATGAATTCCATGTTGTACGAGTCACTTAGATTTTACAAATACGTGTACTGGGCTGTGAATGGCTCACGTATTTGTAAAATCTAAGTGACTCATACAATATGGAATTCATATAACACAGAATTATCTACAGTGTTATGGGGGGGGTCTACAGTAATTTCATTTTTGTTTTCTTCATATATAAATAATTTTAGAAATTTTTATTAAAAAATAAAATATAAAAACTAAAAGTCTTCTGAATTAAAATGGCTCTGAGGAAGGAAAAATGTCTGATAGAAGACTTGCAAAAGTTTATTATTATAGATAAAATATATTTGTAACGTAAAAGAATACTCACCTTTAATTTTGGATAATCATTCATCAATATTGTAACTATTCCTACATATGGAACAAATCTAAAAAGAAATTATATGTAGTTAGTTTTAATTTCTAATATGTTTGATATTAAAATTTTAAAATAGTATTAATCAATATATAAATGTCTATTGACTTATATACAAGGAATTGAATTACATTAATTTATGAAACACAAATCATTATTGGATTTAAATTACTCAGGAAATTAAATTTAAAAAATCATTTGTGGTTAAACAGATAAAAAAGTTCAAATATCTTTGAGTTTGGGATTCAAGTTAAATTGAAATATCATAAACGTAATTATCATTTTTAATTTCCTTTTATCAAGAAAAAATGAAAATAATTGCAATTACTTTAAATATAAATTTCATACCTAATTATCTATTATTATAAAAAAAAGTTTATATCAAACACTTGCAACTAAATGTATTTATTTGTAAAAACTTTTGTAGCAGCCAGGATTGTAAATGTAGTAATATGAACTATTTTTCTTATAGAAAATTTTTTTGAATATTATATTTCCAAAAAAGTCTGATTATATATTTGGAAAACACTTGGCAATTGAATATAGTCAAAAGTTTCATACAAGATTATTACTTGTTTTGTTGAGTAAATCATCATTTATCAGGATATGTTACTGACATAAATATCTTTTTTCATTTTGAATATTTAAAAAATTCAGAGAAAATTGGCACTAAAAATACAAAACATAAATAAATTGTTTTTTCTGGAAACTAAAATTAAATTTTAAAAAATATTTTTTGACCTATTAATATAACATTTAAATGTATCATCAGATGTTTATAAATTTTACAATTAAAATATATTTTATTTTATTCTCTTTCCATATTTTTGTAATTTTAAATATTATATCTTCAAAGCTGGCATTCAATTCTCATTTCCATTTTTTTTTTTTTTTTTGTAATAGCTGAAGCTAATGTAAAATAGGTCAAAAACATTTCTGTTTTAATAAATAAATTTTGGCTTCCAGAAAAAAAGCAATTTCTTTTCTATGTTTTGCTGAAGAATTCAACAAAATGATCTTGGGATATTATGTAAAATACTGATGAAATGTTATTAAAACTTATAATATGAAAATACTAACTACTTGGTGTAAATTTATTTTGAAAAAAAGAATTCACATTGTATCATAACATTTTTTCTTCAAAGTAAAAAATATTTAAAATATCTTCCAAATAACTGATATATAATTAAGTCTTGAATAATATTGTGGCATGTCAAATTTTATATAAAAATATTGTAATGAAATTCACACAAAACTGTTAAAGTAACATGCAAAATAATAATTAACATGTTTGATATCATTTTTTCAATTTTTCAATTATATACTATTTTTATATAAAACAGATTAAGAATCTGAATGCTATTATATATACAAAAATAAAAAAAAATGCAAGATAATATATTTTAACTCTTATTGAATAGTGCAATCTTCTACAGAAACTTATGTTGCAATATGATGCAATAAAAGTGTCAGTATGTTTCATTTTGAAAACTAGTTCCTAGTTTTTAAAGAATTCATAAAATATCTTTCAGATATAATAGAATGCTGTCATATACAGCTGAAAATTGATAAAGCAAATTTATATTAATTAAGCAAACTTGTTAACATTGAAATGCATATCTTCTATCATTTAAAAGCTCACAAATTTACTTCATACTTCACATTAATACAGACTGCTTAAACTGATAATGTAATATTGCCATTTTACTGTACGTAGGTGTGCACGCATGTGTACACTTTATAAATTTTAGATATATTTTTCATGCATAAACTATTCTGTTTACTAGTAATAGCATAGAATAGAATTTTAATTAATATAACACTTATTGTCATAATGCATATTGCTAATATGATCTTAAAATGTTATTGTTATAGTAAAAATATTTTGATTTAAGTTATTTTCCAAAGAGACTAATTTTCAAGACTCATATACAGTTTAACTTGATTACACTATGTCTTTAGCATTCTGTAACATCATATTGTGCAATAAAATATAAATCTAGATCTTGAATTTTACATTTTTATTATTTTAGTTTTAATTGGCTATTCCTAGCTTATAAACTAAAAATGGTCAATCATCAGACTAAATATTTTATATCAATACATTCATTTTACAAAATCTTAAAAAAAGATTTCTAATACTCATCTTTGTAAAGTAAGACTATTTTTAAATTAAAAATGATATATCATCAATTGCAAAATTATTATTTTTTTACTTATTTTTTTTATTATGTTTAGATTATCCAGATTTTGCTTCACCTTTTAACATCTTTTATGAAGTATCAATAAAATAAATTAAGCTATGAATTTATATCTAAAATGTACATAAAAATTTTATATTTTAAAGTAAATTAAAGCATCAGTATTACCATAGTAATTAATAAAATATTTCCAGTGTACTGAGTATAGAATAATTGACATACCCACGAGCTCTTCCTACTATATCTTTTTTCTCTAACCACAATTGTCCTGGAGCATAAAGGCCTCGATCATCTACTGAATTATTGTCTCCTTTTGTCAGAATTTTTACGGATCCATCTTGTCTAAAATATCATGAAATTATAAAATTACCATTTTAAAATAGTCATAATAATAAATTACTTTTCAACATTTATTAAATGTACAAAATTACTTAATTCTTTTTGCCTTCAACTGTTAATAATGAAAATAGTTTGATCTCAACTTTATTAATAATAATAAATTCTTCAGAAAGTAATTATATTTTTACCACATTTTTCTTTAATGTGGCAAGTAAAGATCAAATTTCTAGTCATTTTAAACTCACCAGGATTAGATATAATAAACTTTATCCTGTTGAATCAACATTAATTTTGGAGAGCAACTAAATTCTAATGCGTACTTTCAAAACATTAAAAAACAAATTTTAATATATTTATACATTATGTACAAATAATACAAAAGGATTTCTTGTATACCAACATTATATTTTGGAGCAATTGTAAAAAGTTACAATTACAAACATTTGAAAACACACATTGTAATTCTAAATTTAGGAAAATGCAAAGAAACTAAAGAATTAATTTTAGTCTTTTCAATAAATATAGCTAATAAATAATAGTTATTAATTCTTTATATTGGTTTTATTCAAATTAGTGCAGTTAGTATTTGAGGATTGTGTTATTTCCTTTGCACATACCTGTTTGATGTCTGTTATAAATAAATTATATTTGAAATGGTAACTGATATCTTTCTTTATAATGAATATTATTTTATATATACCAATAATAAGAAAATTATTAAAAAATACACCTATTTTTGATATGTAAAATATTTCATTTTTTATCAAAAAATTTATTTTTAAAATAAATATATTATTATAAACTACAGTAGATAGATATTAATATTACATTATTTCCCTAAGTTTTCAGAAATCCTCAAATAGTAGCCACATCTACTATTCAAGGATTTTTGAAATCAAAGGCAAGGGTGGTTATTATTCAAATAAAACCAGTATATAATATTGATAGAAAATAATTAAAAAACTGCATTTTTGGTTGTTTTTTTAAATTGGTCATTTTTTAAAGCAAAATTAACTGTCATTCTTTATCATCATCACTGTTGTCCTTATCGAAATAAAATAAAACTCTTTAGATGTTTTATTCAAGTAATGAATCTAAAAATTATTATTATTATAACGTAATAAAAATAACTTTATAATGTTAAGTTTTTGCTAAATAAAATACATTTAATTCTCTGAAAATGAAAATTATTTCAGTGCAATGAATATTTTCATAATTATGAAAACGTTTTAATTCAGTTTAGTACATAAATTCTCTCTTTAAATAATTCCAATTTCTATAAATATAAATTAATTCTGGTTTTTTATTATCAAAGCATATTACATTTCCAGTGATAGAGAAGTACAGTAGAACTTCCATTATCCGGATTTTCTATTATCCGGATTGTTCAAAATAAACAAAAATTTTACGAATTTGCTGATTTGCACTTGGTGAATTATGACACTGTTTATGTACGTAAGGGAATGCATAACTTTTTTTGTTTCAACGTCTCACCCAGCACAGTGGTCGTAAACTCTTAAATATATTTTGCGTCGTAATAAAAATATAACTTGACACACATATTTATAAAAAATTTTATTTTCAAATTACATTATTTCTATGACCAAGGGCGGCGTAAGGCATGGACGACGTGGGCCACCGCCTATGCCTCGCGGTCCGAAGGGCCTCGCGCCTCGAAGGTTTATGCATTACTTAAAAGCCGCGAACGCGACGAAAAAATTTTACTCGTCATAAAACGATAAATAGTTTGTCAAATTTTTATTCATAAAACTGCAGTTTCAACTGCTTTTTATTTTATAAAATCCGTCTTCTTGCGTCACCAGAGGGCCTTTTAAACAATAGGTAGTCTGTTAGTGGAAGTCAGTAATATTCCAAATTCAATACGAACGTTTGTTTCTTAAAAATTTGATCACGATTTAAATACAGTATTTACTTTTAATATTACCGATATGTCATCGAAAAGAAAACGTGTTGTATTATCATTAAAAGACTAATTAAAGCATTTGTTTCGATTATCCGGATTTTTCCTTATCCGGACTACTTTCATCCCCAATTAGTCCAGATAATTGAGGTTCTACTGTATCTTCAAACCACTGAACCCCTTCAGCTTCCAACAAAACATGTATAATGTATCAATTTACAAACATTTTTGGAACCCACATGATTCCAGCTTCAGGTGGATTCCAAAAACGTTTGTAAATTGATACATTTTACATGATTTGCTAGAAGCTAAAGAGGTTCAGTGGTCTGAAGATATTGTTTTTCTTATATGAATATTGATAGATAAAATATGGATTTCAAAAAAATATTAACATAATTGTTTAATTAAAACACTAATTGCTATCAGTAATAATGCGGCAAAACTTAAACTTAAAATGCTTAACAAACATGAAATTTTACCTGTATATAATCTAAGTAATTGTATGTTTTATCATTGTATTTTCATTATTAAATTTTACAAAATCTTAAAAAAAGATTTCTAATACTCATCTTTGTAAAGTAAGACTATTTTTAAATTAAAAATGATATATCATCAATTGCAAAATTATTATTTTTTTACTTATTTTTTTTATTATGTTTAGATTATCCAGATTTTGCTTCACCTTTTAACATCTTTTATGAAGTATCAATAAAATAAATTAAGCTATGAATTTATATCTAAAATGTACATAAAAATTTTATATTTTAAAGTAAATTAAAGCATCAGTATTACCATAGTAATTAATAAAATATTTCCAGTGTACTGAGTATAGAATAATTGACATACCCACGAGCTCTTCCTACTATATCTTTTTTCTCTAACCACAATTGTCCTGGAGCATAAAGGCCTCGATCATCTACTGAATTATTGTCTCCTTTTGTCAGAATTTTTACGGATCCATCTTGTCTAAAATATCATGAAATTATAAAATTACCATTTTAAAATAGTCATAATAATAAATTACTTTTCAACATTTATTAAATGTACAAAATTACTTAATTCTTTTTGCCTTCAACTGTTAATAATGAAAATAGTTTGATCTCAACTTTATTAATAATAATAAATTCTTCAGAAAGTAATTATATTTTTACCACATTTTTCTTTAATGTGGCAAGTAAAGATCAAATTTCTAGTCATTTTAAACTCACCAGGATTAGATATAATAAACTTTATCCTGTTGAATCAACATTAATTTTGGAGAGCAACTAAATTCTAATGCGTACTTTCAAAACATTAAAAAACAAATTTTAATATATTTATACATTATGTACAAATAATACAAAAGGATTTCTTGTATACCAACATTATATTTTGGAGCAATTGTAAAAAGTTACAATTACAAACATTTGAAAACACACATTGTAATTCTAAATTTAGGAAAATGCAAAGAAACTAAAGAATTAATTTTAGTCTTTTCAATAAATATAGCTAATAAATAATAGTTATTAATTCTTTATATTGGTTTTATTCAAATTAGTGCAGTTAGTATTTGAGGATTGTGTTATTTCCTTTGCACATACCTGTTTGATGTCTGTTATAAATAAATTATATTTGAAATGGTAACTGATATCTTTCTTTATAATGAATATTATTTTATATATACCAATAATAAGAAAATTATTAAAAAATACACCTATTTTTGATATGTAAAATATTTCATTTTTTATCAAAAAATTTATTTTTAAAATAAATATATTATTATAAACTACAGTAGATAGATATTAATATTACATTATTTCCCTAAGTTTTCAGAAATCCTCAAATAGTAGCCACATCTACTATTCAAGGATTTTTGAAATCAAAGGCAAGGGTGGTTATTATTCAAATAAAACCAGTATATAATATTGATAGAAAATAATTAAAAAACTGCATTTTTGGTTGTTTTTTTAAATTGGTCATTTTTTAAAGCAAAATTAACTGTCATTCTTTATCATCATCACTGTTGTCCTTATCGAAATAAAATAAAACTCTTTAGATGTTTTATTCAAGTAATGAATCTAAAAATTATTATTATTATAACGTAATAAAAATAACTTTATAATGTTAAGTTTTTGCTAAATAAAATACATTTAATTCTCTGAAAATGAAAATTATTTCAGTGCAATGAATATTTTCATAATTATGAAAACGTTTTAATTCAGTTTAGTACATAAATTCTCTCTTTAAATAATTCCAATTTCTATAAATATAAATTAATTCTGGTTTTTTATTATCAAAGCATATTACATTTCCAGTGATAGAGAAGTACAGTAGAACTTCCATTATCCGGATTTTCTATTATCCGGATTGTTCAAAATAAACAAAAATTTTACGAATTTGCTGATTTGCACTTGGTGAATTATGACACTGTTTATGTACGTAAGGGAATGCATAACTTTTTTTGTTTCAACGTCTCACCCAGCACAGTGGTCGTAAACTCTTAAATATATTTTGCGTCGTAATAAAAATATAACTTGACACACATATTTATAAAAAATTTTATTTTCAAATTACATTATTTCTATGACCAAGGGCGGCGTAAGGCACGGGTAACGTGGGCCACCGCCTATGCCTCGCGGTCCGAAGGGCCTCGCGTTTCGAAGGTTTATGCATTACTTAAAAGCCGCGAACGCGACGAAAAAATTTTACTCGTCATAAAACGATAAATAGTTTGTCAAATTTTTATTCATAAAAATGCAGTTTCAACTGCTTTTTATTTTATAAAATCAGTCTTCTTGCGTCACCAGAGGGCCTTTTAAACAATAGGTAGTCTGTTAGTGGAAGTCAGTAATATTCCAAATTCAATACGAACGTTTGTTTCTTAAAAATTTGATCACGATTTAAATACAGTATTTACTTTTAATATTACCGATATGTCATCGAAAAGAAAACGTGTTGTATTATCATTAAAAGACTAATTAAAGCATTTGTTTCGATTATCCGGATTTTTCCTTATCCGGACTACTTTCATCCCCAATTAGTCCAGATAATTGAGGTTCTACTGTATCTTCAAACCACTGAACCCCTTCAGCTTCCAACAAAACATGTATAATGTATCAATTTACAAACATTTTTGGAACCCACATGATTCCAGCTTCAGGTGGATTCCAAAAACGTTTGTAAATTGATACATTTTACATGATTTGCTAGAAGCTAAAGAGGTTCAGTGGTCTGAAGATATTGTTTTTCTTATATGAATATTGATAGATAAAATATGGATTTCAAAAAAATATTAACATAATTGTTTAATTAAAACACTAATTGCTATCAGTAATAATGCGGCAAAACTTAAACTTAAAATGCTTAACAAACATGAAATTTTACCTGTATATAATCTAAGTAATTGTATGTTTTATCATTGTATTTTCATTATTAAATATTTATTTTAAAATAAATATTTAATAATGAAAATTTTTTGAAATTTAAAATATCAGCAATACATAAAATTTACCTGAACTTTACTGTTTTTAAATCATATTATAAATACAATAAAATTAACATTAAATTACTTTTTAATATTTTTTCCCTTCTTCAGAATATACTTTTTCCAATTCTACATTCGTAGTCCAGTTCAAAGCAATCTTTGGGTTATACAATAAAAATAATTGTTTTATTTCTGATATGTTTTTTCTATTTTAAAATTAAATGTATGAAGTTTGTTATCCATGCAGTCATTTAATATTAACATATTAAAATGTTCTTATAACGAGATGCAGAATTTTGTATTATGATTTGATAATGTAAATTGTGATAATTGTTATAAATAAAAATTATGACTTTTAATTCTTAAATATTGTTCAATTTTTTGGAACTGAGCTTAAAATATTTGTAATTTTTTTTAATGAATGAAGGCAATTTTAATAAATACAAACTGAAAGTAATTGTGAATTAATAATTTACTCAAACAAAACTTTATAAATTTACTTATTTAGGAATAACTGGAAATAATAAGCATTTTGATTTGGCTAATAATATGATCTATTCAATTACATATGAAACATTTTAATTAGTTAATGTATAACAATAAAATATAATATACAATATTTTTTTAAGTTTATAAAGTTTATATTTAAAGAAATACATTTATTAAGAAATACAGAAACGTACTTTTCATGCAACTTCAAGACTCTATGAACAATTGGAATATCACGGCCTTCGACTTTAAATACTACTATGTCTCCCACTCGAATGGGATCTTCTCTATGATTTGTGAGAAATAACAAGTCACCCCTATGGAATGCTGGTTCCATACTCCCACTGAAAATACAAATTAAATTTTACATAGATATTGTTTTAAAATAAAAAGCACATAAAACATACACATGTAACATTTTCATTTTACAAATATTTAGAATTGCTTTGTTATTTTGTTATTACTTTGTATTTTTCTCAAATGGTATATATTACCTCAGTACGACGACAATAGGACTTTCACTTCCTGTAACCACCATAAGTCCCTTCCATATCATTAGTGCTGATGAAACTATCATTCCAAAGTTAAGTACTTGATATATCAACTAAAATTGTAATAATTTTTATTATTAAACATTAAATCTATTCAATCAGTAAGATATAATTTATTCAACATATTCTTAGAAAATGCAATATCTATTTTAGAATTATCACAAATTAAAAAAAACAAGCAAATTTTATAACCTCTTATAACATTATAAGTTTTGATATCTAAATTATCTTAAACCATAATTAATTATGAATTATGAGAAAAGTTTTTTCAATTAAGTAACTAATTAATTGAAAAAATTTTATCTCTAATTATACAAAATTAATTATTAATATTAATGTTATTTCAATACTTAATAATTTTATAAATTTACTTAAAACTTATATTATATACATTCATTTAAAACTTGGATTATTAATTATATATAGGCTGCTTTTTTTTCAAGCTTCAATGGTCCATAAAACAAAGACAAGTATAAATAATAAAATGAATTTATCATCAAAAGTTAGGTACAAACATGGTTACTTTTTGACATAATCATTGAAGATTGAGGCATTTGTCAAATCTGTGGACGAGCTTTTCCATCCCCTTGTCATAGAATGTTGTCACCAATGACTGGAGATGGGCCCTAATGTTTTTTTGAAGATCGTCATTAGTCTCGAAACTCTATCCTCCTACCCACTTTTCCTGTTCAGGAAAGAGGTGGAAGTTGCTCTACACTAAATCGGGGCTATACGCTGGGTATTTAAAGGTGGTGAAGCCTTCCACCTTTCAGACTTCCATCCAGCTTAAAACTTTTTAATGTGTGAAGACTTCCACCTCTTTTCTGAACTGAAAAGTGGCTAGCAGGGCAGATGTTTGACACTAATAAACTAATGACAATCTTCAAAACAGCGTTGTTAAGGCCATCTCAATTCACTGGAGGCAACATTCTATGACAAGGGGATGGAAAAGCTCGTCCACAGATTTGACAAATGTCTCAATCTTCAATGATTATGTCAAAAAGTAACCATGTTTGTACCTAACTTTTGATAATAAATTCATTTTATTATTTATACTTGTCTTTGTTCTATGGACCATCAGAGCTTGGAAAAAAAATCACCCTTGTAGATTACAGAATATTTTATATTATAAAAACATAAATTTTAAATTTTTTTAAAGTTCAACAACATATCCATCTTCAGAAAACAGTGATACAAAAAAAATTTTTTAATATTTAAGATTTTAAACTATATTTTAAAATTTACTCAAAAAATAATTTATACTAGCTGACAGATCCAGCATTACATTACCAGGTTAAAAAAAATGCAAATTAAACTTTTAATATAGTTTTCCCATTAGTTAAAATCAAAATATAAAAATCATCTAACTAGTTTTATAGTTTTGTAAAATTGCTGATTATATATTTACAAAATAAATATCATAAAAATCAACTGTCTGAATAAAGACTCGCATTATGATCATTTCACGCACATGAAACTACAACCCTTTCCAATCTTTTTATGTAAACTTCTAGAAGGGTTACATAGCTGCCTCTTTGGATATGTATCCTTCCAGAAGCCTGCAAAAAGAGAGATTGAAACTTGTCAAAGTTTCACATGCATGAAATGATCATCATAATGAACTCTCTATTCACATAGTTACTTTTTATATTTAGTTTAATATTTTCTATTCCTGGCTTAAATTCGTTTAAAGGAATTTCTGAAATGGATGTTGAGTTAAAGTATAGTATCTCTTGATTTTGACAACAATAAACATATTAAAATAGTTTATCTTAATATAAATAACAATCAAAAATCAATTAATAAATTAATTAAAACTTAATATAAATAACACCAACAATATATGAGCCATTCACAGGCCAAATCAATTAACTCCATTTGTAAATCCTTATTATAATCATTATTTTTACATTTTTTGTGTAACTAATTTTATATATTGTTACATTAAAACTATGCTTTAATATAACAATATATAAAGATACATTGTACAATGTTTATTTAAATTTAAAGTTTAAAAGAAATTTTAAAAATAATTTATATTATCAATTTTTATACTTTTTGTTTTATGGAGTTAATCAATTTGGCTAGTGAACAGCTGTTATGTGAAACAAAGCCAAAACAGCAATAAAACAGAAGTTTATATAATGATGAATTTAATAGAGACAGCTAAAACATTACCAAAATATGTTATATATATATAAGATNTTATTTTAATGAATTAAGAATGCAATATGAGAGGTTTTGTGTTATATATATATAAGATGGTTTGAATTGAATTAATTCATTAATACTCCTCTGTAATAATTATTTCATTTTTTCACTTTTATGATGATTCACAATAATCATAGAAACATTAAATCATAATTCAATTCTTATTTTGCAGAAGAAATTTTTATCTCAATCCCCAATGTCTTAGAGCTGCGAGCAGCATTGAAGAGAAAATAGTGCTGTCTCACTGATCATATATTGGTACATTTTAATTAATAGATAAACAGAAATAACGTTTTAGTAATTTAATTAAAACCACACCATTAAATTCCTTATAAAAAGTTGTTTATTAGATCCCTTTTCAAACCTGTCCAGCCAGGGGTTGGCAGCCTTTTTGTTACTTAGGGAGCAATAGAAAGTTTAAAAACAATCATGATCATATAGTTTAAATTTTGCAATAAAATCACAATGTTGTAATAAATAAATAAGATAATTGTTTTGAAATATATATATTTATAAAAAATAAAGATTATACATGCATGTAACAACTAAAAAATGAAAATTAAAAGTATGTACATAAAATAACACAAAATTAAATTTAAAGTATATATATTTGCACTTGCGTGACTACAGTTCTAGAGAGTTGATCTGAAATGTGCCATGGGTGCAGCATTGCTGACACCTGCCATAGACAATTCCCTTTTAATTTCTGTAGCAAAGATATGTACTCAGAAATATAATACTGTAGACCCCCCTATAACACTGTAGATCAGCGTTTCTCAAAGTGGGCGATAACGCCCCCTTGTGGGCACTGGAGGCTTTCAGGGGGGCAGTAGAAGGCTCAAAGAGAATTGGGGGGCGTTAAGGAAATATAGAGGGGCGACGGCAGACAAATTCTATATATAAAAATTCGACGGAATATATATAAAATGTTGACATTTTATATATTTTTTATTTTTTATTGAAGGTCACAACTTGAATATTTCTAACACATTGACTTTTATTTTAGCTCAGCGTTTCTCAAAGTAAGCAATAACGCCCCCTTCTGGCGCGATGAATAGATCTATGATAGAGGCAGGGTATTGAACGGTGACCAAAGGCAAAATTGGGGCTGATAAGAGGAAACATTGCGTTTAATGGTTTCCAGATGATGAGAACAATGTACAGTAAGGGCACAAAGTGTGAGATTCATAGAAAAGTTTTCCTAAGAATATTTCCAATCCTTTTCTCACACAAGAGAAAATAGGTTAGGGGGCGTTGGATATAACTTTATAGAACAAAGGGGGCGGTGGATCGAAAAAGTTTGAGAATCACTGCTGTAGATAATTCTGTGTTATATGAATTCCGTGTCGTACGATTCACTTAGATTTTACAAATACGTGTGCCGGGCTGTGAACAGCTCACGTATTTGTTAAATCTAAGTGACTCGTACAACACGAAATTCATATAACACAGAATTATCTACAGTGTCATAGGGGGGTCTACTGTAATAATAATAATAAATAAATAAATTTATTAGTCATATTAGGCCATAGCCAGTTATTACAGGGTGTTGTTACATTATTTTCACATTAATCATAGCATTCCTAATATCATTTGGTATCATCTATTCATCTTATAACATTCATTAATTGATTAAGTTCAAATATTTTCGACTGTAACAAGATTGATTACAAAAGATTTTTGCATAGTTGTATAGTTTGTAAATCATTACAGTATTTGCTTCATGAAACAAATGATACATTTGATTTTCATCTTTAAGGAAATTTAATTGATATAAATCCATTTTGTTCCTTAGTTCATAACCTTTTTCACATTCACAAAACATGTGATACTTAGTAAATAATTCTTGACATCTAGGACAAATAATTTTTGAAAACTCATAAATTCTATTATTAACTATAATCATCTTGCTATTTAATCTCAGTTGAATAAAAAATTTCTTAACTGTAAACGACATATTAGTTAGCATATAATTATTATTAAAGGGGTAATCTAATATAATATTATACCATTTAGGTTCTCTTCTTGTATGGATTTCTTCAATGTCTTGAGCCAAAGTAATTTCGAATGTATTTTGGATTAGTTGTTTTCTTATAAATTCACTAATTTCTAAATTTTCTAAAATGGCGTTAAAGAAACTCCGTATTCATTGACAATATTTCTCATTTGACTAATCCAAGAACTTTTTTGAGGATTGTGATAAAATTTTTTATATAACAAATATAACAATTTAGTCGGTAAGTTGTCGTCTCTAATCTTATATAAAAAATTAATATATCTTTTAACAAAGAAGGGAGTTAATTTGAATATATTGAGTTCAATTCTAAGAGCATAACCAGCTATATTATAGTCCAGAGTAAAAATTTTTCATATAAATTTATTTTGAATTGTTTCAAATTTTTTATATTTTGTTAGATTCCAAATTGGTGAAATATATAATAAATATTTACTCAAAAATATATAATAATATATACATAAAGTTTTCACCAGTTTATAATTTATTAAAATTAACTTAACTTTTTTAATCAAAAATGTACACCACAAAAACATTTAAGAAAGGTATTTGATCTAAAAAACCTAATGAATATAAGCAATTAATTTTTATTTATTTATCAATAAAAATTCTATTGCAACATTTCAATATTGATTAAGAGTTTTGAAATGAAATTATAATTTTTTATGTATTTTTATTACAGGAAATTTGTTTAGCAGTAGAAAAATATATCTTTTTGTGTTATTTAAATATATTTAAACTATAACAAATACATTTAATAACACACATATTTAAACTCAAATTTAATACCAGAAAAACATTTAAAATTCAAAAATAACTTTTATTAAA